TGCGCTTCGTGGAGGCCTGGAGGGCCCTGCCAGGGTTCGGGCTGGGGCACTTCGTGGTGAGGTACTGGGGGCACTGGGAGGGAGGGCTGCCACACTTTGAGGTGCCGTACACTGGGAGCACTGCTCAGGGCCGGGCCAGCACTGGGGAGGTCCCCAGAGTTCCAGGGGTCCCATGTGTTTTGGGGGGGTCTCACAGGTTCCAGGGTGCCAGGCGTGATGAGATTTTGGCTGTGGGCCCCTCACAGCTGCTCCGGATCGATCCTGGCTCTGGCGCCGTCACCCGCAGCTGGAGGCACAGCGACCTGCGCCAGTGGGACATCAACTGGGACAGCCAGCAGGTACTGAGGACTGGAGGGGAGCGGGAAGCACTGGAAGTGGACTGGCTCTCACCCCCATCCCCTTTTTCCCCCAGGTGCGGCTGTGGCTGACTGGGGACGTGACGCTGGGGCTGCGGGTGCTCTCGGCAGCCCCCCGGGTGCTGCACCAGTTCCTGGGGGGGTATCTGGTACTAGGGGGGCAGCGGCCAGGGCAGCCCCCAGACCCTGATGTGCTGAGGCGCCTGATGGAAGGGGGGGATGACCCCTAACGCCCCCAAGCCCCATGCAAGAGTGGCCTCATGCAAATGCCCCCACCCCACTGTTGGCACCAGCCTCAACTCCCCCAGTCCCTGTTCCTCCCACAGCACTTGTGCACCCTCCCTCCCTCCTCCTGCTGTGCAAGGCACTTGTGCAAGGCTTGTGCAACACCGGTGTGATGGAGCTGAAGTGCTTACTGTGCTCAACAGAATGGTGGTGGCTGTTGGGCCTCGCAGGCAAGGGGGTCACAGTCTGTCCTCGTGGCAGGGGCTCTCACTGTCCTTGTGCAAAAGGTTTGGACACCCCAGTCCTCATGGAAGAGGGTCACAAACCATCCTCGTGTGACAAGGCCACAACTCTGTCCTCATATGAGGGGTCTGGACCCCCACAATCCTCAGGGGCTCTCATCTCACTGCCCCTGTGCAGTGGGATCCCACTGCCCCTCCTGGACTCCCTGGACCCCCAAATCACCCCAGGGCACCAACTCTCCTCCTGGGCTCCCCCCCTGGTTTCCCCACTCATTTTCCCACCCTTCAGGAGACCCTCAGCCCCCTCCCCTCCTCCCCAGCCCCCCAAGGCTGGGCCACTGCTCCGCTCTTTATTTGGGGTCACAGCACCCCAGAACCAACACAGGATGGAGGGAGGGAGGGGCAGCACCCCCTGCCTCCCCTGGGGGGTCGAGGTGTACCCGGGGGGGGTCCCAGAGGGGTCCCCGGGATTTGGGGGGGTCACCGGATGGCAATGAGCCCCACATCCATTAGCTTCTGGATCTTCTGGGCGATGAGAGGGTTCTTGAGGTGCCTGGGGGGAAAGCAGGGAATCAGCATGGGCACAGGGGGGACCCAAGGATGGCCGGGGATGCCTGGGACCCCCCTTGGAACACCCCTCCACATCTTGGGGACACCCACTGACACACCTGGGGACGTGCTAGGCAACCCTGGGCAACCTCATGGAGACTCAGTGAGCTGTGAGAGATGGGCAATGACACCCCATCAGACCTTGGGGACCTCCAGGTTGACCTCAGAGAGAGTTGGGGACCCCCCCCCACAGCTGCAGAGGGCTTGGTGTGGCTCCTTCAAGGCTCAGTGAACACCATAGGGTGGCTGCTAACATCCCAGAAAATTCCCCCAGGACTCACTCGCTGAGGGCCTGGGGGTCCTTCTGCATCTGCTCGAGGATGAGGCGCATGGCCGGGTCCCCCATGATCTGCTGCACCTCGGGGTCGGCGAGCGCCCGGCGCCGCAGCTCCTCGGGGGGCTCTGAGCGCTGCTGCTGCGCCCGCAGGCACCGCCGCTGCCCCTCTGCCGCCTCCTGGGGGACACACAGGGCATCGTGGCGGGTCACGGGGGTGCTGTAACCCCAGGCAGCGCTGCCGCCACCTCCTGGGGGCAGGGTGGGGGGCACAGAGATCAGGGGGGTTGGTTCACAGGGGATGCTCTAACCCCAGGCAGTGCCACTGCCCCTCCACTGCCTCCTGAGGGTGACAGGGATCACAGAGGGGCACACGCGGGGGGTCACAGGGGGCTGCAGCCCCGGGTAGTGCCACTGCCACTGTGCTGCCTCCTGGGGATTACAGGGGGCTGGGAGGCCACGGGAGTCACAAATTGCTGTATTCTCAGGTCCCGCAGTGCCACTGGGGGGCCCGGGTAAGCAGGGGCTCAGGGGTGGTCACAGGGGTCAGCAGGGGCTCAGGGGGTTGCGGGCTCACCTTGCAAGTGGGGTCGAGGTCCAGGGCACGCTGATAAACCTCCATGGCCTTGGTGTAGTCACGCATGGCCTCGAGCGCCGCCGCCTTCCGCGTGTAGCCCTTGACTGGGTGGGGGCGATGCACACAGGTACAGGTGAGGGGAAAATGTGGGTACAGGTGAGGGGTGGACACAGACACAGGTGAAGGAAGGAGAAAGGAGTACAGGTACAGGTAGAGATGGCTGAAGGCAAAGCAATGAAAGGGCAGGGCCTAGCCCCTCCAGTGCCCCCCTGCATTCCCCACTCACTGAAGGTGGGCTCCAGGCGAATGCACTCCTCACAGTCCTGTGGGAAAAAGCAGATTCAGAGGCATCTCAAAAGCCCCAAACTGACCCCTATACCCTCAGACCAGCCCCAGGTCCCCTCCTACCCCCCAAGCCAGCCTCCAGCCCCTCAATTCAGCCCCCGCCGCATCCCCAGCCCTGTACCTTGAGGGCGAGGGGGAACTCAAGCAGTTTGGTGTAGCAGGCGGCACGGTTGCTGTAGAGCCGGGCCTCATTCGGGTTGCGTCGGATTGCCTCGCTGTAGTGCCGCATGGCCTGGGGGTAATCCCCTAAAACGGGACATCCCCCCCGCCTGCTGTCAGGGGGTGCCCCCCAGATGCAGGGCAGGGCCCCCCCAGCCCACCACAGTGCCCCCCCACCTCGCTGGAAGCACTCGTTGCCCTTGTTCTTTTCCTCCAGCGCCAGGTCGGGGTCAATGTAGGCCAAGCGCTCCTGCTCCTTCAGGATCTTCTCAGCCTGTGGCAGCAATTAGGGGGTTCGGGGGGGCCCCAGGAGGGCTGCCCTCCCTCCCTCCACACCCCCTACGTCACCTGCTGACACTTCTTGAGCACATCGGGCGTGCGGTGCTCAGCCAGGGACTTGTTGTAGAAGTGGATGGCATCCTTGTACCGCTCCTCGCGCAGGTAGGAATTCCCGATCCGTGCGTACGCCCTGGGGAAAATGGGGGGTCGGGGGGGCGATTTGGGGGGAACCAGAGAGGATACCCCTGGTCCCAAACCTCCCAACTCACTTGGCAATCTGCCGGTAATCCTCCCGGTTCTCCCGTCCCAGCTCGATGGCGCGTTCGCACAGTGCCCGGCACCGCTCGTAGTCACCCGTCTCAAAGTACACGGCTGTGTTTAAGGGCAAGTTTGGGGGTTCAGGGAGGTTTTGGGGTTTGGGAGGTGCTCAGGGGGGATTGAGGGGTCACGCACCCGCCTGGTTGGTGACGTAGGTCATATTGGTGGGGTCTAGCTGCTCGGCTCGGGTGTAGTGTTCCAGCGCTGCTGGGAACTCCTTCCGCTTGTAGGCGGCATTGCCCAGCTCCTTCTCCCGCTGTGCCTGATGGAGGGGGGGTCACCCTAAAACTGGCTAGGACCCCCCAAACCCTAAAAGCTGCTGCCCAGACCTCCAAAACCTGGCCAGCTCCTGCTCTCGCTGAGCCTGGGCGGGGTGTCGCCCCAAAACTGGCTGTGACCCCCTCCCGAACCCCAAAACCCGCTCACCCGTCACCCAGCTTCTTCTCCTGCTGTCCCTGATGGGGTAGATCATGTCAAAACTGGCTTGGACCACTCCAAAGGTTGGCCAGCCCCTCTATCATCCCGCTGCTTCCCCTGCTGCATCTTCTACAGGGAGATCACCCCAAAACTGGCAGGAAGCTCTCATCCCCAAACTTGGTTGAGACCCTCCCTGAATCCCAACTCCTCCCCCAGCACCACAAAACCTGCTCCTAAATCCCCTAACCCTAACCCCAGCACCCACAAACCTGCCTTACAGCCCCCCTGAACTCTAATCAGCTGCCCCAAACCTGCCTACCCGCCTTGTCTATCATGCTGCTCTTTAGGTGTGCAGGGGGGTTGTGTGTCCTCAAAACACCTCCCTCCCCTCCTTACAGGTTTTGGGAACACCCCCTCACCTCCTGCTTGTTCTGGGG